CCCCAAAACCCCAAAACCCCAAAACCCCAAAACCCCAGATGGAATTTATAATGTGCATTATGGGTAAATTTTAATTTGATAAATAAATATTCCACAACATCAAGTATAGAATCACTTAATCAGAGAAAATTTTCATGATACTTATTTTATATCTCAGAGATCATCTGATCCTCATTGGTTAGAAGCCATTCTAATTAGGTTTGGGCAAATTCTTCACATAATAAATAGCAAAGGACACTCCAAATCCAAGCAATGCAACAAAGCCAACAAGGAAGAGTAAGCCTGCAATCTAATTTGAATTATCTGTAACTACTTGTATAAGTTCATCTTTACAATCATTATTTGGGGGACCACTATAATTATTGATCTTGAAAATATCATTACTTTCTAACATTGGAAAATAAGAAAAATTTGGGACTATAGCAAACACCAGCACATTTGAACTAAGTTTCGAGTGCCTATAGGAGTTTCATGTATTTATTCTGCTAATAATCAGTCATTCCAGTGAATGGGCAATCATCTAAGGAATCAGTTGCCATATCTGTGTGTATAATGCTCTACCTCTAATCTTCTGGCCAATTTGATGCATCTAATTATGACAAACTTAATAAAGGTTTATATTCTACCAGCGATGCATGGACAGCTAGAAGAGCAGAGAATCTTATCGCCATTTCTATAGATTGTATCCATTTCATAAATCAATCCAGTATTTGATTAACAGCCATGCTATATGGTTTCCTTTAGAGATTCTAAATATATCTTAGCGTCCACAATTTCAATGTTATCTTACTTTTGATGATTATAACTGCAATGCACATAGCAAAGAATAATAACATAATGCACATTGAAATGTAGCCGTACTATGGAATTTGATTCAATAAGAATGAGATAAATTACTATAAAAGTGATGAATTCATTCTTAGTATCTGCAGCTGAGCAACCAAGTGCAGCACTCATCATCATAATTGAACCTGTGATGATTAAAGCATAGAAAGCATAATTATTGATATGCAGAATCTAGAAGAACTGATTGTTTTAGGCCTAACTACCCATTATAAACAGAGCTATACCTAGAGCCTATAATGGAAATAATGGAACTAAATTATATTACCATATATATAGCACCACATGCTCCAACAAGCCACCTGATGCAGTTCTTGTTTACCATTTTTTAAGCTAACATTAATAGACAATAATAAATTTATATTTCAACGAATGAATTAAAATTTAAATGTCAACGAATTGATCTCCATCCTAGCAATATTCACTCATGATGGGGTTTTGGGGTTTTGGGGTTTTGGGG